AACCTTGCCATGCAAACCCAACACAACACTCAAACCGAAGTTACTCATTTCCCTGTCTTTAGAACAATGCTTGAAATGTCGCATGCACTTTTCTCATGTTGCTGCTGATTTAATCTAGAAATCTTAAGAATGCAGCTGAACATCTTCTTCAAAGTGAAGATGAGACACTGTAGATTTGGGACATTATTACAGTAGAGATTTTACTTGGAAATTAGCATGAAAAAACCTTTTTTCTTTCAGACCGGTGAAGCAAAATCTTTTAAATATTTATGTACTGATCAGATTAAGTTGCTTTTAATCTGTTTTGTGTGCTACAGCTGCATCAGAAATTCGTTTTAATGTGCTTGGTGTGACAGCTGTGTGTGGCATTTAAAATAGTAATATGCTGCTACATAATTCTGTTCTTACATGCTTTAGTATCAAGATTCCAAAATAGAAGATACCTTCTTATATATATTGTCAGACTTGGAGGTGTGTTAGTTCCAATTATATCTGACTTGGAATAATGATCAAAACAATTTGACTTTCAATTGGCACTCTTACAGCAGTCTTAAGAGTCCCATGACTGAATCAATATGTTGGAGAAAACCTCACCTAATCAAACCCATTAGGCATGGGCAGGATGGTGCAAAGAGGATTTTACCTGTTGCTTTACTTACGTAGCATGTGTGCCTTCTGTTTGCTACCATCAATTTGCACTTTTATGAAAAAGAAGCCTAAAGTGTTAAAGCATTTTTAGAGTTTTTTGCCTTTATCACTTTTAGTCATGAATGTTTTGCTTTCTCGGAGATGATGTGAGCATGAGGGAGATCAGAAACATTTCTATAAGAACAGATGTTTAAAGTGATGTGTGACACATTAGGTCAGCAGATTAGGATATGACAGCAGAAACAGCTTTAACAAAGCATAATCTGGTGTGGTGTTGATTAAAACAATGGCCTCACCACCTGTGTTTTACGAAGTGTTAAATCTGCTTCTTGTTCTGCCCAGAAGAAAGACCACACACTAATGGGAGTACTAATTAATATCATTTGTTTGAGTGAGTTTTATTATGGTGGATGTTAATTCATTGTGAACTGAACTATGGTGGGAGGCTTCAACCACAACCCTGCTGTGATTTGATGTGTTCAGTGTATCATTTCAGCCAGGCAGTTTTGTTTCTTGTGGTTGTATTTCTTTGATCTGAAATGGGAAACATACTGATCACCAGCAGTTTTGCATTTATATTCAGTAAAGTGATAGAGAACACAATCGCTACCCCGACTACGTAGATCCTTGCTTTGAATTTTCAGTCATGAGGTAGACATAATCTGTTTCCAGGTTTTCTGACTTAAAACATTATTAATCAAACTACACAGAATGTGAAATGTATCTCATGTTAAATCCAGCTAATGAAAGATTGAAATTAACAATTCCTTCCTGTTTTGGAGGCTGTTGACTGAACTTTGTGATACGCGTATCTGCACACTTTATTCTCCACGACCTGTTCTGGAAATATTGGTGGTACTCCGTAAAATAAGCGCACAGTGCCATCAAGTGTCTGAACAAGTTATTGCCAGCACTGAGTTGAGATACAAACAATGGATGAACAAGACTCTACGTTCTCGCCAGAGGCATAACTATCTACGAATGTTAAACAGGTTGGCTGATGTTTTTTCTTTACTTTGTGGTTAGGTTTATGAGGGAGTGGCTGCATGCTGCTGTTGCTAGCTTTCAGTGGTTTGTCTTAGAAGTTTAGTCAACAGTGTTCATATGTTCTTGTTAACTGTTTCAGAGTTAAGTGTCAACCCAGATTTATATTACATAGTAATATTGAAATAACCAGAAAATCTCAAATTGGAGAATAATTTAATGGGTATTTTTAGCATGGCTAGATTACTTCACTGTGAATTACAAGCTTTCAAATAAAAGTATCGTTTAAATGTTAGATTGTATTTTTTAGTTGCTAGCTTTTCCTATTTGCACATATAAATGCCATTCAAGTTTTATCTGAATGCAGTAGGTTTAACTGATTTCAAGACTCTACCTATTTTAGTTCTGCTCTTTGCTGAAGGGCATTTCATAGTTGTTTTTTTTTTCCCCACCACTATGCAATATCCAGCTATTTAGGATGGATGCAGAAGTTTGAAGGATTTTTTTATATTATTTCTATTTAATTTGGTTTAATTTGTTTAAAATATTTTTGCTTATTTCTAGCATTCAATTTTTGTCTCCTGTGTTGCGGCTCATCTTAGTGTTGATTACTCTGGAACTAGTCAACATTCATTTGGTTTGTAAGAAGAATCCTTTTGATTATCAGCAGTATCTAAAGTGAGTATATAATATTTACTTTATGAAAATAGGAAGTTGTACACATTCCATTTTGATCTATAATATAAATTCTGTATAGAAAAAATAAAAAGGAACAGCATGACTTTTAATACATTGTCATCCTTCTTTCTATCATTATAGTCATCATTATATCTCAGACAACATTCACTCAAGAACAAAAATAACTTAGTTGAAAATATATGGTCCAGTTATTCATGTTTTTAATTTTTATTAGACTCTTCCTTAGTATAGATAGAGAACAATCACACACTCAAAAATATGAATACATTAGAACTGTATTTCATATGTTGGTAGTTTTACTCCTTGTGTGTCAACTAACAGCTGGTTAGATATCATAGACATTGTGAAACATTTGACTGAGAAAAGAAAGGAAGCCATTTGGGAAAAATTCTATCACACATTCTATCACTGCATTATTTCTATGACAGTGTTTAATTGCAGTTCTGAAAGTCATCACTTCTTACTGTTAGAATGAGGGAGTGGTTCTCTTCCAGAAGTAGAAGAAGCCTTAGTGTATTGATCATCCTGAGGGAAATTTGGAAGTCTGGAGACCATAGCAGCTTTAAATCGGTCATTAAGATATTTTCCTTTTGTTTTGTTTTGTTTTGTTTTAAATCCTTTATATTTTTTTTTCTTCTTTGGTTTTATTTCTCGTAGGTTTTTGAAGTCGGTCTTGCAGTATACTGAAAACTTGGTGACATACACAAGCCCTGAGAAGAACAAGTGGGATGAAACCATGGAGCTTACAAACAAGGCTTTGGTAAAAATAAGGAAAATCAGTGACAGAAAGCTAACGTTAATGCAGTTAGCTACATAAATTAAATGGTTTTAAGATTATTTGGACATTTTTATATCTTAAGTGTTCTGGAGTCCTCAAATATGGCAAGTCTAATTCAAAGACAAACTTCATCAGTCATTGTCAAATTTTGGATGCAAAAGTTAGTCTTTTTATTAGAAGGTGGCTGTCGAGACTGGAGTTGAATGATCAAGCTTCCGAAAAATGGTCTTTTTGCCAAATCCAATGAAAAAGATGGACTGTGAGCTAAATCAAGATAATGCAAATTTAGCTTTATATCATGTGTTTTGTAGCTTGATTTTTTTTTTTTTTTTTGGTAGTTTTCTATTTTACTGAAAATATCGAAGAAAAGAGTTTGGATAAAAGTTCTGGAAAATTTTAAATCCAAAAAGTAATTTTTTACTTTGAAATATACTGACAATATCAGACACTGTGATCAACAGGTTAAGAAATGGTGAACATTTAGCATCAAGTAGTACTCATTGGCGGCTGTGGTGGTTGTTTTAAGTTCAAAATAGTCAGATCTTGCCCTGAGGTAGAGCTGATAACACAGTATCATTTATATACCAGGATTTAAAGGAGGCAGGGTGGAATAACTTTTGCCCAATATGTGTTTCTTTCGTTTAATTTCATCTGCTCATTCCCAATACATATCTAGTTAGTGAGTTAACTTCATGCAGATTAAATACGAACACTCACATGCACATGCTCAGACACATTTATTGCAGTTCGAAAAGTTATCCTCTTGTTGCGCACAACATTATTTGAATTATTTATTTTTCTTCAAAATAAATTCTCCTCCTTTCTCATCCCCAAAGAGTAGAATTTCAAAGGATTCACAGAAGACCACCAATCTCTATACATTTGCTTTCTCCTATGGAGAGTAAAACCAGAGGGCAATGTCTGGAGAATGTTTGCCTCTACAAAAGATTAGAGATGCAAGTTACATTTTAATAAGATTCTTTGTAGTGTTTCTTGACTGGAAATCACAGCACGAGAATTACTGGTTCAGTTTATGCAGTGTGTGGGATGAATGTAAACTAAGATCATATTGCTTTTATGCTACTCTTGCAATATATTGTGTATGTTTGAAATTTAACTATGTAACTTTCCAAGTTTTTTTTGTTACTATGGAACTAAATGATGTGAAGAAGTGTGAACTGGATAAAAAAGATTAAAACTAGGAATAGAGAATAATGAATATGATCCACAGTCTGAAATATCATCTTTTTTTTTTTAACATCTGAGTTGGCAAATCCTAATTACAGTTTTGAAGGCTTATTTTGTACCCATTGACTTTGCTCAGAAGTGTTAACTTCTGCCAAGTGTAGCTTGGTAGTGACATTTATGATGACACTTGTTTTGATGGTGATAAGTATTGTAAGGCAAAAATTATTTAAGCTTTACATATTTATTGTAGGAAAGAGATCAAGAAATTAAAACACAGTCATGGTTTAAAAGTACATAAACAGCTGACACACTTTCTCCTTTTGAAAGAATGTTCATGTACTGAAAAGCACCTTATAGACTATAGAAGCATATTCTCAACAATGCAAGTTCTCCTTTTGTTCCTGTATTTAAACTTTGCTGAAATGATCTTGCATGCTATACTCTTCATATGCTTTTACCAAAGATGGAGCATATTGACAGTTTCTCCATTACTAATTATTGCCATAGATGTGATTTACTGCTTTAAGTCTGCAGTAAGAAACATGACAAACCGGCAATTTTGTCAAAGATACTTTTCCAGGTTTTTTTTCCTACCTTTGAAGCTTTCTGATGGGAATGCTGCTACCATCTATTGTTAGACAAATCTGAACCAGGCTGGGACAATCCAATTTATTCTGATTTAATGCTGTCATTTACCAGTAGAGCTGCATGCAGGGCTTACGGTTTCTTCCTGCTCTTAAAAGACTTGCAGAATAGAGCTGCAGAATAAATGTATATTCTACAATGCACATGGATGAACAAATGACAAGAGACATGGTAAAGATCATGGGTTTGTTCTTTATCAGTTAATTGAAATGACTTTTCCACTTCAGTTATTCATCTTTGCCATCTGCTTGGAGTCACTTGAAGTTTTAAGATATTAGAAAAATCTTAACCCTGAACACTCAGTATTCCTGAGAGCAAAAGAAGCTTGGAATAACCGAAGACATCCAGCAGGTACATGCATGAGTAATACTGATGAAACACATCACGTTTAAATACAAGGGTTCTGATTTTTGTTGTCCTAAGGGGAATTAATTCTGGAGCTGAGCTGTCCAAAACTGCCTAGTCATCCATTAGGCATTCATGTTGTTCAGTCTTTTTTCAAAATTCTTTAATTCTTGAAATTTCAAATACCTAGAATTGTACCAAAGAATGTTTTCTTGCAAGTGCGGTATTTCACCCAAATACTACTTACATATGTATTAATTGTTGGCCTTGGTCCCCAAGGTCTGCATTTTCATGGAGCTAGTATTCACTCAGTGAATCTATACAGACATAGACATGGAGTCTGCAGCATCCTCTGAGAAAGGTGGTTGAAATATTTTGTTTACCTGGATAATGCTGAGGGAGTGATGATTCTTCAGTCAGTTCTTCTGCGTCCAATTGATCAATTTATATGTGTGTGTATATTAATTAAAAATAGCTGAGAATTTGTTTCTAATACTTCCTGATACTACAAGCTGATGTTAGGCATCCCAACTCAGAATGTATGATGGAAGTTTTGAGAACTTTGAAGAAAACAAGGTATCCATCTTTCTAGCTAAGTCATTGGAATTCCTTTGCATCTTCTTCAATATCCCATCTAAATGAGAAGAGGAACATCTCTAATAATTTTAGCTTTTCAATAGTGAGATGCAGTTCGTTTGTCTGCCTTCCACCTCAAGGGGAGTTTTCAGGTGAGAGATTGTATTAAATAATAAAAAATTGAATGCTTTTAATTCAAATTGGAATGGATATAGTTTTCAAGTAAGAGTAGAGATCCTTTGCTGCTTACATTAGATCTAGTGAAAATTAATATTGTAGGAAGTCCTCTGAATCCATTGTCTTCATCATTATATGAATAAACATTTTTATTCATACACACAAACGTTTGAAGAAAAGCCAATCTCTGAAATAATTATGTTGTAGTTGTGTGAACATTTGTGGGTTTTGATACCTTCTAGGGACCAACCATCAAGATGAACTAGAAGTTTACTGAGGTGGGCACTGCACAAACACAATGAAACATCAATTATAGTAGGCATCTGTGTGTGGAAACAAAGCTGGTCCATTATTTTCTCTCTGTTATTCTCTAGTTGGTGCTCTCCACAATGATGATAGAAGGGCTTAGAAATGGAACCATGTGTTCTTACACAAATGTAACACAAGTGGCTAAAAATACTTAAAACCTTTTTGGGGTTGTCATTACTGTGTCATACAGAAACATTTTACATAAGAGACAGAGCAACAAATTTGATTTACTTTATCTTTTAATACTTATCAACTAGGCATTTTCAAGCAGCCTGATACTCTTTGAAGTGAACACGTGGTGGCAGTGTTTGGTAATTCAAAATACCATTGTATCCTGACACTGTCTTATCTCTTTTTTTAGAACGTGTATGAAGAAATCGTTTTCTTCTGATTTCATTAGCTGTGTTCTATGTGTCTTTAATTGGGGCCGCTGCTTCTGGTGAAACTTTTTTCTTTCCTCATTTGTTTCAGATCTCTTTTGGAGAAATTGAACTCTTCTGAAAAAATGTTTTGCAAACAGCATTTTAATAATTAGAGGTTCATCACGTGCACCACATTACTTCCTGAGGACTTTTCAGATTTGCCAGAAATTCATGTCCTCAGGTAGTTTAAGAGAATGAGTTCTTTGAATTTAATAAATAGTTTATTTTAATAAATTATTGTTTATTACAAAACATAAGAAGGTATTGACATTCCTAAAAGAAAAAATTCCAGATTGTTCTTTGTTAGCTGCTGTGATACAACGAAAAATCTTACCTCAAAACCAAAATACATCTTTTGAACAAAAATAATAATTGTCAAAGAACGTGTTTATTGAGAAAATTGCTCCGAGGGCTCACTCTTATTGCTGTGGTGATGATTTTTTCCAGTCTGTTAAAACTGAAATGTGCTGTTCATATGCCACCCTGTGAAGAAGATACAGTTGAGCACTGCTTGTTGGGTGGCCTTTGAAAACCTTGTCCACAGTAGCACTTTCAAACCATGCAGAGAGGTTGCAGATAAAAAAGATTTTCATTCACATGAAGTAGTTTTTGTATGCTGTGAAATCTTGTGGAGAAATGTTGGAACATCCTCAGCAGAGCTTGTTTTTGCCTTATATGACATTAGTGCATCTGGTCAATGTATGGTGTATCACCTTTTTTTCATAAATTGGTCTGCAGATGCGGAGCAGGTTCCTGGCTGGCGTAAACTATTCCTGTCCCCTCTACTTCAGTGCAGAAGCTTAACTCCACTGAGGATATGCCCCATGCTGTTTGGGTTTCCCTGGAAGTGGATTGGTTCCTATCTGTGCTTCTTTTTCAGGCTTGTGTATTTTCAGGGGACTGGAAGAGCGAGCTATGTATTTCAGACAAAATTGCTGTATAGCAAGCCCTAACTAATTTAGTGACTTACTTCGCAGGGAAGTGGGGATCGAGTGTGGGACTTCACAGCTATATACCAAATTCTTAATTCTTTAATATTTTTGTGTTTCAGAAAGAACTTCACCTAGAGTAGAAATCAGTTTTCTTTTGGGGGCTTTTTCAGGAGCGATGCTATAGATCAGATCACCTGATTTTTGCTTTTTAAAAATGTTCAAGGACAAACGCAGATCTGTTATTTAAGAAGTCTTTTAAGCCATACAGATTTTCAGATAGAAATTGACTGAAAGGAAAATGCCTGTTATTTGCCTTCCCTGGCCCCCAGGCAATAGGATGTAAATACGGGTAGTGAATACTGTGTGAGATCAAACTGGCATTTTTTCTGAAGGTGAGAATCCAAGACAATGTATACAATTAAAGCCAACAGCCTTGCCTACCAAAAGGAGTCCATGCCTTCTGGCATTCTCCACTGAATACCTCCTCTGTTCTTCTCCCATGTATATGCATCTCACAGTTTCTCTATGGAGAAAAAAAAAAAAAAGCG